GAGGCACAAATGATGGAAGAAGAGCAGAACCTCAAGACAGAAGGTGAATAAAAGAAACAAAGAGACGAAAGAAAAAACAAACGAATGTGACGAAGAGGTGGAGAGAGCGAAGAAAAGCCAAACTCATGAGGGGAGGATGAGGATCGTGGCCTTTTGGCCAATTAGCAGCCCTGTTTGATGGACAGCAAGCTGACGCACAGTAACCGCGGCAACTGTGGAAAGAAAACGCTGCGGCAGCGCTCCTCACCAACCGAGAGACGACCATGATGTTGACGTTGGCTCGTCCACACAAGAACGCACACACACACACGTACCATAAATCACCCCTCACCCCCCCCCAAAAAAAACGACAAGCGTGACCCCCGCACCGTAGCAGCCTGCATGGAACATATGTGTGGGTCGGCTTTGTGTGCACACAGGGATGATAATGAATCTTGAATATTTATCTCATCACTCCACTCTTCAGGTGGTCCTGCGGTTTCACTCCCCCACCTCCTTTTTCTTCTCTACACCTCAATTTTTTTAGTGGCAGAGGAGGAGGGTAAAACTGAGGCATTGGGCAGGGAAGGAGGGGGTGACGAGGGTGAGAAAGCATCAAAAGAAAGTGAGTAGAAGGAGTGAAATGTTGGAAAAATTGAACGGGGGAAGCAAAGTAGTAGAAGAGCAAGGAGAAAGTACGAAAGGATAGAAGGGGAGCAAATGAAGGGGAGGAGGATGAAAGGCAAAAACCGAGAAGAAAGATGATGATATTAAATGTAAGGTGCGATTCATTTGAGAAAGTTTTTTTTTTTCCAAGAAACCAAATGTTGAGATCACATTGACTCACGGTGTTAGTTCAGGTAACTGTTAAGGTAAGTTGTTCTTTAGACGCCTCAGGATGCTACTGTACACTTCCCTGTTAGCCCTGAGGGGAGACTTAATCACAGCGTGCTGTGATTGACCCTGTGGATGTCTGATAAAGCTACAAACTACTAAGGGAGACAGAGCTTTTGCCACCGTGGCCCCGAGACTGTGGAACTCTCTCCCACTGAGCTTAAGATCTGTGGACTTAGTCATTCTTTTTTTAAAAAACAACTAAAAACACATCTTTTTAGAATTACATTTTGTTAACTTTTGTCTGTTTTTGTTTTATACTTTGTCATCCCTGTGTGAAGCACTTTGTGATCTTTTTATCTAGAAAGGTGCTATATAAATAAAATTTTACTTTACCTACTTACTTGACCTGCTGGTGCCTGTTGGGGGTGACTGTACCTCAGGTTATCTACTAATTGGAAAGATGGTGGGTCGATTCTTGGCTGCTCCAGTTTGCATGCCTTGGGAAAGATACTAAACCCTGAGTTGTATTCATTGAAGTGTGAATTTCAGATAAAAAGCACTTACGTGTAGAAAAAAAAGAGCTTGTATGGATGAATGAGGCTCAAAGTAGAAAAGCAGAATATAGGATTCAGTCCATTTACCATTTATAATGCCTTCAGGCTTGAACACTCTGAACTTTTCCAATAAAACATGCAAAAAATTGCCAGTGATCACAACATGGGTCAGTTTGGCACAGAATGTTGCTCAAATTGAATGCCCATGGTAAAATGGTCTGACTTGGATATTGAAGGAACGATGAGAGCCTGAAACGGGCGATGGCTCCAATCAGGTTTAATTTTATTTTTATAAACTGATCTGCACATGTGGAAACATGTGCTTTGAAACTAGACTAGAATAGAGATTGAAATCAAAAGAGAAAATGAACAATATCAACCCAAGAATAATGTAAACAAATATGGAGAGGGGATGGTGGAAAAGAACACGGAAGAAGGAAAACATCAGAGACAGAGAAAGAAATTAAGGTGCCAGAAAGTTTGAGATAATGATGAGAGTGAGAGAAAAGAAAAGAGGAGAGGACGGTGACAAGGAGGTAAAAGGAAAGGGAAAAACAAGAAACAACAAGAGGGAAAATGAGGGTGATGTAGACGGAGTGATGGATGCTGTGAAGAGCAGAATCATGGGGTCAAACTGAAAGAAGAACAGAAAAGATGAAGAAAGAAAAGCAGAGAATAGAAAGTAGGAAGAAAAGCACAAATAAAGGAAGAAAAAGAAGAGAGCGAGGGGGATATGGGTGCAGTGGGAATACAGTGCAGACTGATTTACTTGCTGTAAATGTACTTAAGGGGCACTGAGCATACGTGAATATGTGGACGGTACAAATCTGCAGTTTTTATTTTTTGGTAAGCAACTTAATCAGCTGTGTGAAAAGCGTGTTTGTGTTTGGCGGAGCCGGCGACGCTCTAATCAAAACACAAACAGCATAACAGCTGCTAAGACCGAGACATGTCCACCAAAGCTGGTAGTACGCCAATTAATATCTGATCTGTGGAGTCCTTTTACTCATTTAAAAATGTTTTACTGTTCTCAAATCAGATTTCTTATGTTTTTCATGATGGCATCCCTGATTTGTTTATTTATTTAGGCATTTAGCCATCATTTGACAGTGAAACTGAAAGTGAGACCTTCATGTCTTCTGCTCTGCGTCTGCTCCCACTCACTGCTGTAAGGTTGTAAACTTCTGCTCTTCTTTGTGTTATGCAGTATTTGCCCCAGTCCTCATTGCTTAACTTAAATACTTCATCAACCAAATTTTTATATTAGAGTTAAGTCAGCTGAAAGATCTCAAAAACAACAATATGGACTATGACAAAAAGGGGTTTGGAGGTGGTAATAGAGTCCCTGTGCAAGGTGAATATATGATCTGCAACAATGCTTAAGTAGGTGTTATGTGACAAAGCACCATCCACATGGATGGTAGGACCCAGGGTTTGCCAGCAGAACATTCCCCAGAGCATCACATTATCCCTGTGGGCTTGTGTGCATCCTGGTGCCAGGTGTTCCCCAAGTGAGCAACGCGCAAACCCGGAAAACATGATTCATCAG